CAGATCTGGCAAATTTTGATTTTTTTGATTTTTTTTTCGCGAGATTGTTCGTTGCTCAGTGCAAGTGTTGAAACTGTTTGAGCAGCGATTGCAGTGTGCGCGCTGGGGTCGTACTTGGGAGCATGTAACAGACACGCAAAGGACACTCAGCGGCCAGTCATCGCTCAATCCGGACAAATCGCTCAGATGAGAAAAAAAATACGAAAAAATGTTTCAAAAAAAAAAAGGAAAAAAAAAAAAAGAAGCAGCGCAAAGATCTGCACATCAAAGCAGCAGTCGGACGGGGGGGGGGGGGGGGTCCTCGAGCTAGACTCCAACATCCATGGCAATCCAAGCACCCCGGGCACAGGAACCACAGTCACGCGCGCGGTCGGCACGAGCACACAAAAAGCGAAAATTGAAAAAAAAATAGTCGAAGGCAAGGCAAAAAAAAAAAAAAAAAAAAAAAAAAAAAAGAAAAGAAAAAAAAAAGGATTCCATTGCCATCTTGTGCTCTTCCAACAAGCAGCTTTGGCTTTGGATGAGAGGCAGAGGTTGAGGATTGTGTGAAGGGGAAGGAAAAGAGACAAAGCAAGGTTTGGAGGAAGAGGAGAAAAAAAAAAAAAAAAAAAAAACGAATCACATACATCTGCCATTGTTGCTGGTTTTTTGGTTTTTAAGGAGTGAAGGGTTCCAAACTCGGTCGAGTTGATCAACAACAAACTGGAACGGCAAAAATCAGATCTACCCCTTTCATGCAGTGGTGCCGTTTGATGGATACTGCACCAGAGCGCAATACCTTCGAGGGCGGAGGCGGGGGGGGGGGAAGCGAATGAGAGTTTTCTGCTCCCGGATTTTCAAAAAGAAGAAACCAAACAAGCAACCGAAGTGCCAATCGAGTCACGAAATGACATTAAGCCAAAATAGATCACGTCTATTAAGAATACACAAGTAAAAACTTCAAATCGCAACAAAAGACAGGGTGGGAGGCCAAATGCTCGAAAACCAAAACAAAATACAGTATTGTGCGTCCGAAGATGAAAACTGCAATATGAGGTTGGAAATAGAAACGGACGATTTGGTTTTTAAACATTTGAAATGGTACAAATTTGTAGTGCGATTTTGGACAAAATGCTATCGATTTGGTTTTTAAAAACACGAAACTGTCCAAACTGCGCCCGAGTTGGTTTTTGCCAAGATAAGGTCTGGTTTTTTGGCGCGAAAACTTTGGAATAAAAGCTTGAAACTGAAAATTCGCACTCTTGGTTGGGAAATTGCCACTTCATGTTTGGGATTTGCAAACACCCCCAGACGAACCTGCTCTGTAGCCATGCCCAAACGTCAAAACGAGGCGCAGGCCACCGAATCACGCGCGCCGCGGAAGTGTGTCCATCTAGAAGACCCCGAACGGAAGCGGATCATCGACTTGGCTGTTGATCGCGCCTTGCCTCTCGTCACGGTCGCCAGCATGCTCCATCACCCCATCAGCACTGTGTCCAACGTAGTGCAACGTTTCAAGGAGCGCGGAGAGTGGACGTCACATCACGTCAATCCCAAGGGATGCCGTGTGCTCACAGCGGAGCATCTCCATTTTCTCGAGATGGAGCTCGACAAGAACGTCAATGTGACCAATCAAGAGCTCCAGGACCTCCTCCTGACGACATTTGGCATTCAAGTGCATCAAGCAACCATCGGGCGTGCCATGTTACGACAGGGCTTCACGTTCAAGCGCGTGTATGAGCAGGTCAAGGTGAAAAATTCGCCTGAAATCAAAGCCCAACGCAAGAAATGGGCTGAGCTCTTCGAGGCTTTCCAGACACCTGTGGATCGCTTGTTCTACGTGGACGAGAGTGGATTTAATGCGAATCAGCATCGAACGCGAGGTCGATCTCGCAAGGGCGCGCGCGCAATCGTTCAAGTTGGCAGTATTCGTGCAGCGAATTTCACGCTCATTGCAGCGATCGGAATGAGCGGCGTTGTGTTGAATGAGATCCAGCTCGGAGGCGTGACTGGCCATGTCTTTGCGGAGGCAATGACGAAGCTGTTTGACAAGCTCGAGGCAAAAAACGCCGTCGACACCGCCGCGTCTGGCATCGCTGTGGATGAGCTCCCAGTGCAACAGCTTGAGCCCGACCTCCCCCTTACAAACGTGGTTGAGGACAGTGTGTCGATCAGTAATGCAGTTCACATGCCACTGCTGACGTCCGGTGCAGCGTCGTCCCAACCACCTGCCCCTCCCGCTGCAGTTGTGTCGTCTGCTGCGTCTGCAGCTGGCGGGTCAGCTCCTGCTTCCACCTCTGCTTCCTCTGCATCCACCTCTGCTTCCACCTCTGCTTCGACGACCAGAAAGAAGCGCCGTTCTCGTCGCAGGATTCTCGACGATGATGACAACGATGATGGCGGCGTCTACGTTCCACCACACGAAGAACTCATTCAAGACGAGATTGATGAGCACAATGACAATACTTCCTATTTCGTACCGAGCGAAGAGCACCCAGGTGTCAGCTTTCCGGGACATCATCGCTACAAAGCCTGGATCGTGCTCGACAACGCGCGCATTCACAAGACACCCGAAGTGCGCGAGCTTTTTGCACGCCGCGGGTATGGGATGCTCTTTCTGCCTCCGTACTCATCGTTCTTGAACCCGATCGAGTATGTCTTCAACCAAGTGAAGGCTGCGTTCAAGCGCTCCCGGCTGGAACCGAACGAAACAATCTCAAGTCGTATTACCGCTGCTGTTGGTACCGTGACGGCAACGCATTGCCAAAACACTATCACGCATGTTCAGCTCAAGTACTTTAATGCTTGTCACGAGATGCACGATGTGCTAGATTAGTTGGCGTGCTCTCCTTCGAAAGCTCCCTCAATGGCGCCCGCTCGCCTGTTTTGGGTGGTCGTTTGATGTGATCGTCCGTGTCATGTTACATGTATAAATACTGTACATGTATTATTGTACATCCATTTCAAATCATGTTTATTCTGCAACAAGCATCTGCCAAAGACTAGTCGATGGCTTTCAGGAGAACACCCCACAGTCCGGTCGGCCTTGCGTCCTTTCTTCACTCTACCCGTAAACCTTCATAAAACAAACATAGTTAAGCCTATTTATACATGCATGTACATGTATTGAGCGTATGCAAGCTGGAGCGCTCCACTGTGGAGTGCACATTGCGTTGTCATTGGTGCTGCAACTTGCTGGTCGTTAGGAATGATCGGAACAATCCACTCGGCATACGATTGCCACCAATTTAATGACACTATGATAAACTATGCAAATGCTAATGCTTACACCGAAATGGCTCGTGAGTACGAGCCCTGGGTGGTAAAGACGTCGCTGTGGAAGTAATTCATCAAAACTGTAGTTCGAGCTCTTCCCGAGCCCTAGCTTTCCCGCTAGTCACCCCAGCATCTAATGACCTTCCAAGATACATGATTCAATTCAAATACTTCCTGAAGTTGTTGGTAATTCTAACATCTCAAGTGGGTTAATTCGAAATACAAGCTTGCAAAAACCAACTCGTTGAAAACCAAATCGAACGCACAAAAACCAATTACGGAAAAAACCATTTTTCTCGCACTTTCAACCAAGCTACTTTTTTCCAGTCCGATTTTCCTCACTTCGTCCGCTCTAATTTCCAACCTCGCCTGCTGTGATTTCAACCTCGACTGCATAATACTGTATCAAAGAATCACGCAGCAGCAAGACAGAAAATCAATCGACAACAAGACAGCTTCTTGGAAAAGGGGGGGGGGTCTAACGCGACACACTGTGATCGACTGATCTTTCAATAAAGCTGTTTTCGGCTCTCTTCAGGCTTCAAAATGAATGAGAATTGAGTGGAGGCCAAGCGACTCAAAATCACAATAAATCACAATGGTTTTAGGTGGCTTTTTGGTGCTTCGGGTGCATCACTCCATGTTGTGCTAGAACATCACTTCGTGATAATCGAAGAGGTTGTTGTGTGGCTTTTTTTGGTCTTTTGGTCAGTCTCCTTTCTTCTTGACCAGGTTTGTGCGACAACTTTCCTCGATCAAGTTGTTGTTGTTGTGTGGAACGTGCTTGAACAACTGTTGTCTTTCTTTTTCCTGGAAGGTGAAGCGAATGACTCGTGGATAAAAGGCGAAGAACTGTCGCTATTCGAGAAAGCGAAGTCAAATCACAAGATCGCGCTCTTCGTTCCAACCCGTTTTTTTTTTCCCTCGATGAACGCACCGCCATTGTGTGTGTGTGTGTGTGTGTGTGTGTGTGTGTCGGAGTGAACATTGGATGAACAAAGCAAAGATCGCGAACAAAGATCGCAAAAGTTGGTGTTTTATTTCTCACGCCTCGTTTGTTGCTCATAGGATGGAGTTCATGTCACAAATGTTTCGCCCTCCTGTGGAGCGCATTGACGTTATCTCGTCTGCGTTCGGCAAAATTGAGGATGTGTCACCATATGACATGATCCAAGCACTTGCCGTTCTGTCCAACACCATTACAAATTCATCAACGAAGATCACAGCGTATCTCCGCAAGTTTATCTCTCTGTACCGGGAGAAGATTTCGACCGCGAGGCCGGAATTTGCCGAGATGTATGCAGCGGTTGAGGCTGACGAGGAAGCCAGCGAACTTTGGGGCTCTTTCCAGTTGGCGATCAACTACCAGCAGATTGCTGATGCACTCCGGAAGCTGACTGGACTGCCGGTATGTTGTTTCTCCTTATTTCGTGACTTTTTTATGACTTTTTTTTTGTCTTTTCTTTGACTGACCGCTCGCTTGTCATTAGAACTCGGAGCCCCAAGAGTGGCGTGAATTCCGAAAGGCGATTCTTGCCGCCGCGTCCTCGCCCAATGCACCCTCTCCGCCGCCAGCCGAAACGGGCGTTCGCGTCAAGGCTCCTCTTCGCACCAAAATGCTTCGGCATGTTGAAGCCGTTCTCAAGGAGATCATCATTGAGCTGAACGACTTTGACGGCTGGTCAAAAGAAGCTGCTCGCCTTGAGCGGTTTGTGATCGCTCAAAAAGCAATGCGCATAGCGATCTCCGTGATGACCTTCATGGCTGAGACCAATCACGATATCAGGCCGCTCCTAGCCGGCGTGTATGGTGTGCAAGACACTGCTGGTAGTCTCGCCCAGCTCAAGTCGGCTGTTGTGCCCGCGATTGTTGATGCTACAGAGTGATTGATTGTTTAATGTCGGTCGACAGAGGATTTGCAACATCCTAAAGCAGTGCCTCAAGCAAATACAGCAATCTTTGTTTTGTTCCAAAAAAAGGGGGGGGGGAAGAAAAGTGATGTCGATTTGAGAAGTACGGAAAGTCCATCAAACAAACAGAAACGCAATTGACAACGCAACTACTGCTGCTTTCTGAGCGACCGTCGCCCAAAAGTGCCAAATTTCCCTTTTTCTTTTTTTTGGACCGCTTCCTCGGTTGACTCACGAATATCGGTTTCAGCCACTACCGGCTCTGGTTCTTTGATTGACTGGGGTTTGTGTGCAGCATTCAAATAGGCAATAATCTCATCAGTCAGCCCGAGCACACATTTCTCACTCTCTTCATCTGAAAAGCGCACATTGTTACTGCTCATCCATTCCTTCAACATCTCTCTGCAAACTTCATTGCGCAAGCCGAGGTCACTTCCGCACTCTTCAATCATCACTTGGTCACTATTCACAAAATCCGCGATATGCACGCATGCATCAAGCAGCCTAGACTTGTTACATTCTTTCACTGGAATCTTCGTGTTAATGCTGGTTAGGAAACGAGCCTGGCAAGCTGCTTCACGCTGTTGCAGAAGCTGTGCTTGCTCCTTGGCTTTCTTTTCCGCTTCCAACTCCTGTTGTTTCTGCTTGAGTTGATGAACGTACTGCATCTGAAATAGTTTGAATCGCTAGTTCAATCGCAGTGTTTGGTGTCCAAGAGCTTGCTCGCTTCCAGTACGACTTCATTGTTCACGTGGCTGAGCGTGATCAGAAGGCGTTCTGGCAGTCCGCTCCTCAGCTTGTTTTTGACTTCAAGCTTTGCAACTCGAAGATTGCTCCTCTCGGTCCTGTCGACAGCGACAACAGTGAGGCTGCTCTGCAAAAGCACGACGAGTACACGCTTGAGCTCGAGAAACTCAAGGAAGACACTGTCGCTGCAGTTGCCGATGACCTGGCGGCGATGAGTGCTTTGTCTGGCAATTCTGTGCGTTCTGCGTCCTCGGACATGGACACCGCTTGACTGTGCATGTGTTGTTGCTGTTGACATCTCTTTTTCATTGTTTTTTGTGATGACTCTAACGCGACACACTGTGATCGACTGATCTTTCAATAAAGCTGTTTTCGGCTCTCTTTAGGCTTCAAAATGAATGAGAATTGAGTGGAGGCCAAGCGACTCAAAATCACAATAAATCACAATGGTTTTAGGTGGCTTTTTGGTGCATCACTCCATGTTGTGCTAGAGGGGGGGGGGCTCTTTTGAACTTATTCTGAGACCTGGGATGGTACCACATCGACTTGCTCAACAGAAGCGCTCGAGACTGTCGCCTCGGACGGCACCACGGTGACTTGCTCAAGCGGAGCAGGCGTCGCGGCATCAGCTCGCACGGGCACCGGCGTAGCTTGGCCACTACTGGCAGCACGAACTGGCAACGGCGAGTCTGAAGGCATCACCGTTGACTCGACATCGTCGTGCGCCGTAATGTTGGCTGACGATTCCGACTGCTGCGGGCCGCCCTTGCGCTCGCCCTTGGACCGATCTACTCGGTAAAACCAGAGGCACACACTGGCGACAAGAATGTACAGAATGTCGAAAATGTGCTCAAAGATCAAGTCGCCCGCCGTCTGGGGCAGGGGAACGACGTTTGGCGGCTCGAGGTTGTACCTGTCGGTCGCCCACGAGTTTGCGCTGACGGCGAGGACAATGATGGCGGCCAGCTCGAGCAGCAGGAGCAAAAAGTTCAGGCGATCGATGCGTCGAAGCGCCAACCGCCTGCGCTTGCGGGCGAGAGCATGCATTTCCTTGTCTTGCTTGTCCGCTGGCGTGCTCTTGGTGGTCGCATTCGTGGTCGTCGTCGTCGTCGTCGTTGTTCCAATGACGGACGACGTCATGGAATGGCCCTTCGTGACGGACGCGGAGCCGCTGGAAATGTCGCCGTATTTGCGCTGCGCCTCTCGGAGCACACGATGAATGATGCAGCCAAAGTAGGAGCTCGTCGACAGCCAGACGGCGAAAATCACAATGGCGAGGCAGTATCGCAGCAGCTTGCCAGCCCAGTACGGCTTGACAGCGTAGATGATGATAGTGGCAAAATACTGCGAAATCCAGCAGTACGCAATCGTTGCCATCCGCATCTTCTTGAGGAATCGGGCAAACCGCTTGTGCTTGACCAGCACGGCACGCATCACAAAATCAGCCCACGAGCCGACCAAGAGCAGCCAGATGGTAATGGTGGCGCTGGAGCCCGTGTCGTACATGAGCGATGGCAGCCAAAGCGGGTAAATGTCGGCCCAGCCTTGGGCGTCCACCGAGCGCACAGCGCCAATGACCATCGAGATGGAGCACATGTACAGCATGCAGTTTTCGGTTTCAAAGCAGAATCCCGTCTTCTTGATGATGAGATACGTGTTGTACAGGCTGTACAGCGCCAGCACGATGAAGATGGAAGCGAACGTGGCTTGCAGCGCCGTGAAGGAAGCGCCGAGCGAGTCTGCAAACGTCTCGTCGCAATTCGGGCCGGTGAATGGCACCGAGCAGTTTTCGTTCGGGTAGCTAATCATGGTTTTTTAACAAAGATAAGAGTAGGAAAAAAACGAGCTGTCGTGACAGGGAATGTGCTGTCAAAACCGCAACAGAAGCGAACAAAAAAAGCAGCCAGTGTTTTTTTTGTTTGTTTCGCTTCAGTAGTCACAGCAGCAGTTGGTTGCCTTGGTTTCTCAGTGGCTACCAACAGGACGCTCTCTTCGAGTGGTATCTTGACGGAACGCAGGGGAAGCCACGAGGCAAATCGATCACAAAACTGACACAGATCTTGGCCACAAGGTTGGTTTTTGGGTTTTTTGTTGTGGGTTTTTGTTGCGGGTAATTCGCGACAAACAACAACAAAGGCTTGATTTGTTTGGTTTGGGACTGGCTGCGGTTGGCACCCTGTTTTGAGCACGGATGAAATCCCAAACAGCAAAGGAAGACCGGTCTGGAGTAGAGGAAGACGAAGCAAAAACCCAGAGGGTGAATGAGAAAACAGAAAACGAATAGACAAAAAAAAAAAAAAAAAAAAAAAAAAAGGAGTGGCAATCCATGCTCGACCTTGTTTTGTTTTCATCTTCCTCATCTCACACACACTCTCACAACGTCTTGTTATCCCGTGTGCGTGGTTTGAGTGGGTGCGAATGACCCCATTCCCCCCAGTGTATTCCACACGGGTTTCATTTTGTTTCTTTTCGCATAGCCATGTTATATGGGTGTGTGACAGATGGTGCAAATTTGCAGAGGGGGTTTTTTTTTTTTTTTTTTCGATATTTCTGCCTCGTCTCCGTTCTCACACTGCACTTTGCCATGCTGTTGATGAGGGGTGTGCATGGTTGTGTGTATGTCTTGTGTGAGTTTGAGAAGCACATGGAACAGCCAAAAACAAAGAACGAGTGCGAAATTTTTGTTGTGAATGCACCGCGATTGTCGAAGCACGACGACATTCAACGAACGAACAGAAGCTTGAAAAAAAAAAAAAAAAAAAAAAAAGGATTTAACGGCGCGCCGACGATCGATCGAAGATGAGCGCGTGTCCAACAACAACGCTGTGATACAGTGGTAGAGAACGAAAGGGAAGACACAGACAAGCAACGAGGGAACGTAGTGGACGAGAAGAGCAACAAAGAAATGGAAGGTGAACTTGGGGGAAAAGGGGCGGGGAACGAGTGAATGTGAAGGAGCAGCAACGGGTCACTGAGCTCAACTCGCATTGTGCACCACGAAATGAACCCGCTTGCCTCATGCCAACCAGAAGCGTGGCTTTGGGGCGACGAGTCCCAACTCAACAGCGTGGAGGGCGCCCCAATGACCACAGGCCACCACCATCAGTGTGAGACAGGCAAAAGGCAAAAGACGAGCCCTTCCCCCTCCTTTTCCCATTTCGCGTGCTTCCCGACTGCCTGTGCCGAGTTCTGACGACCTTGCACGCTGGATTCGATCACAACCACTCTCACACCACCAACCGAGCACAGAAGCAAGCAAGCGTCGCAGGTTGAAACAGAACAAACGCAGGCAATTTCTGGCTGGACGCATACCGATAACTGTTTGTTTTTATGTTTTGATATTGGGCTTTCTGGTGGATATTGTTGGGTTTTTTGGTGGATTTGTGACGATGGGGAGTTGGGTTTTGCATGTCAGAGCGAAAAAACAAGAGCAAAACAGCGGGTGTTGGTATGTGGGGGTCGGGGTGGGTCTCCACACAACGCATGAGTCAAACGGGGCGAGGGGGAGCAACAACAAGAAAAAAAAACAAAACGCACTGGCTCATCTGCCCCTCTCGCTCTCACGCTCACTCGCGCTCACTCGCGCTCTGTCACTCGTCCACACACAGCACAACAAACAACAAGAAATCACACGCTCAAACGCATGCAGAGAAAGTGATCGACAACGCAAAAAGACAAAACAACAACCAGCTGGCGTTATGTCTGTTTGTAGCCGCGAATAGAACAAACCGCAAGGGGGGGGGGCTTACAAATTGAAAAACAAACGAGAAAAAGAGACTGGAAAAGTCAGAACCAAGCAGAATAGAACGAAATGGAAAATCAGCTCGGATAAGAACCAAAGAGACAAAAGAAACATGCAATTGCATTGGCTTTTCTGAAAAGCAAGACAAAAAAACAAACTGGGTTGTGCAAAAACACTGAAACTCAAAACTCATCAAACAGCTCCGTCCCGTTCGGAGACCATTTCGGCGCCGATATTCGTGGAATAGCCGTCCATCTCCGTCAGTGCTATGTAGCGACGGTCGTTGTGAAGCGAGGGCGTCTCGTCGAAAATGGATGGGAAGAACTGACGGTAGCTCGCCCAAGCAAAGAACAAGCCTGAATTCGGACCAAAAACAAAAACAAAAAATTCGTGAGGTGCGTTTTCTCAACACGCGCGCCTCATAGAAACACTTACCGATGATGGTGCCAACGGACACGTCTTGCCAGTGATGCCAGTAATCGCTCACGCGAGTCATTGCAATGTACAGGGCAAGCGCAAGGGGAAGGATGGACACCCAGAACTTCCAAACATGGCCGTGCCCGTTGAAGGTGTGCAGCTTGCCCGCAAAGTAGAGCGACAGGTATCCCAGGCCAGCGAACGACCCTACAGCAGCCGACAAGGTGGAAAAAAAAAGTCAGCGCAATGATTTTCCAGTTTTAAGATCCGTCTGTTGTTTTTGTTGTGCGTTATTTACATGAAGAATGGCCACTGGGGAAGCTCTTGCGGCCTTCTTCAATGACAGAGGGAATGCCAGTGCAGTTGAGGTGGCCGTTGGGAAGCATGTGCTCGACACCGTCAGGGAAGCACCGCCAGAAGAAATCCGGGCGCAGGCGTCCGACCGTGAGCTTGACAAAGTCCGTGAGTAGTGCCGTGAAGAGGATGGTCAAAAAGAGACCTGTTTTTTCCGATAGCATATTTCGCGCGGGGGTGACACGGGGCAAAAGACTCAGGGCGTGAGCAACCCCGAAAATAATCGAAAAAGCGAGACCGTAATGCGTTGATGCGTTCTTACCCATCAGCCCTTGATGGAAATCTCGGCGGTTGCGCGTGAAAACAAAGACCAGAATGATCATGCCAATCGGGATGCCCACGGAGCAGATCTGCAAAGCAAAGCAAGCAAAAGGGCAAAAAAAAAGGTGAGGACAAATTGTGTGCCACGGCAATAATAATAATAACAGGTCACCCGGCAATTTGCCACCCGCGTTTGGTTTTTCCACCCGGTGGGAGTTTTTTTGCTTGGTTTTATTGTACTGAATGGGAATTGAATGGAATGGAATTGCTGCGCTTTTTGTTACAATGAGAACGGCGGTCGAGATGGTGTTGCCGAGCAACGGATACTTGAGTTCGTCGAGGTCTTCCTGGAGAACAAGGCGCTCGTATGGCTTGACGACCTGCAGGCCGAGCTCGGCGCCAATCATGAGGAGGATGACAAACCAGTCGGCCAAGAAGCTGAGCGCAATGTCGCGTGGAAAGCCGCAGATGCGCCTGCTCGAGACGCCGTGGCTGAAGGTCGACGGGTGGTCTGAGCGCGGCGGGCGGTGGACACCGAGCAGCGTCCACAGCGTGCGCTTTCCGCTGCTGCTGCCGCCGCGGGGGCTGGACGAGCCCGAGATGGAGCGGCGAATGTCATCGAGGCGCCGCGGCGAGTCGACTGGGATGGAGACGGAGTTGTTCATGCCATGGGAGGCTGAAGGAGTGACTGTGTTTGAGCTGCTTTGAGGGGAGAACATGTTGTTGTCGTCTGTGTTGTCGTTGCTGTCGATGCTGTCAGTGTCGTTGTTGATGCTGTTCGTGGGCAAGGCGTGGATCACCTGCTGGCCGACAAGGCGGAGATGACGGAGTAACGCTCGAGAAATTCGGCGCACAACCGCGAGCACGAGCAGCGACAGCTCCTGATCCGCGGCGATGGTTGGCTGAGGAGATGAAAGCAAGGGGAGGGAGGAAGAGCTGCGGAGACGCACGCGCGGACGAGCGAACAGCAAACCGAGAGCGACGGGAGTGAGAGAAGGTGGAAGAGAGCGGAGCAAAGTCCAACGCCCGAAAGCAACAGAACGGAATAGAAGACGAAGAAGAAGAGAACTGGTCCGGGCGAGGTGGCTCAATGCGGAGTGAATGGAGATTTGTAAGCGTTAAGCGTAAAGTGGAAAAAAAATAACGAAGTGAGTTTGTCGGTGGATGAAACGCGGAAGAGAGGGGGGGGGGAGAAGACGGAAGGAGCGGAGGATTGAATGGATGTGCGCGGATCTGGGTCCAAGGTACTTCTGGTCATCAGTGGCTCAACTCTGTGCGACTTTGAACAAATGAAACAGGCTTCGTAGGTGCAAAACAATCAACGAGATATTGGGGAGGATGGGGAAGAGAAAGGGGGGTGGAAACAGTAATGCGGATCATTTTTATGCTGCTAAAACCTTAAGCGTCATCAACCGAAAATCAGAAGCTTCGGAACCCTGAGCCCCGCTATGCCGTCGAGCGAACATGCTTGGCCAAAAGATCGTGCTCGGTGCGAAGGAGCGCCAGAATCAAATCCGTGTGCGCAGTCGATGGGGTGGACTCGGGAAGTGGCTGAGAAATGGCCTGTTTCAGATTTTCGCGTCAATCCCCATTCAGCGAGGCTTGTTCGCTCTCCCACCCAACCACACCTGCTCACTCACTCCGACTCACCTTGTACTGGGTCATGAGCAGCTTGCAACGGGTCGAAAGGAACTCAAGCACTTTGGCTTCGTTGGCTGCGCTGACAGGTCGTGATACTTCGGTCAGCATCGATCGCAGCTCGTTTGTGCGCACAGTGCGTGAACCGCCCGACGCACGCAGCACTCCTTCGGCTCCCGGAAGGAAGGTGGCGGCCTCTGTTGCATCCATCCAGAGCACGCGCAAAAACCCGAGCAGCATTTTGCTTTCCTCCAAGGTGGAGCGAAGAGGCAACCGTCCGGATCTGCCATACAAAACGCCATACAAACACAAGCACACAAATGGTTGAGAATGGGCACACACACACACCATCCACACACCACGGCTCCAAAAATGCAACCGCCCAAAATGCTCTCAGGCTTTTTTTGGTTCCTCACTCTTTCACGCCCAACGCTTGCAGAATCGTGGACTTGGACTTGAACAAAGGGTCCTGCTTGCCGACGGCAAGAAGAATGAGATACTGGTCGGTGGGGTGGTCGGCAGGGACAAACTCAGAGTTGCCAAAGTAGGCCATGGACGATCGATCGCCGTAGTGCAAAAGAACGGGCTCGCCCTTTGCAATGGGCGCCACGGCGACGCACTCGAGCGAGCGAGTCTGGGTGTCGTAAAAGCTCGAAGCGCCTCCGAACGCGTGGTTGCACATGTCCCAGCCGGGAATCAGCGCCAGCGACAGCTCGGGTGCCTGGTTTGCGCGAACTTCGCCAACAACGATTTGGTTTTGGCGAGTGGCCACTGCACTCGAGGCCCAGCAGAACAAGTCATACGTGAGCTCGTTGTAGCGCACAGGCATGGCTTGAGCGCGCCGCCGTTGGTCCAGGATTTTCTGGTGCGCGTCTCCCGAACCCGAGGGCAGCTCGGCAGCTCGCGCCAGTTCAAGCATCATCAAGTACTGCTTCCACGCTGCATACTGCCGGACAACGTTGCGCAGCTGTACAAAGGCTTCTTGCAACGCAGGAGAGGGCTTGAGCAGCTCGAGTTCCGCCTCGGTAAAGTACAGTGGCAGGCGGAATCGCTGAGGGAGCAGGTCAATGTATGGAGACCAGTACGAGTTGCCGCCACGCCGGCGCTCCACAATGAGGAACATGCGCAGCAGAAAGTTGTCGAGCTTGGCCATCGCTGGCGACAACTCGGTCGAGTCGAGTGCACCCGACGTAATGAGCTGGAAGGTCTCGCTCTTTCGCGCCTTCTCGGCGGTCATCATGAGCGCCTCGGGCACGTTGATGAAGGTCTGTCCCGCCGGGATGTCGCGACGCGCAATCACACCGTTGCCTTGCTCGGCGTTGGCAAACACAAACTCGATCGCGTCCAAATGCTTGCCGTCGGCCGCCAGCTGCGCACTGCCGCCACCATGAGCAACCGTCTCTTGCACAAACCATCGCTCGAACGCTGCGAATCGCGACGGCAGCGTGTCTGGACCAGTGGATCCGCGGCCCCAAGTGTTCCACGCTTGCGCCAGTGTTTCGCCGTACTGCTCGGTCTCGGCCTTGCGCAGCTCCTGCACCTTGCCCAAGAGTTCGCGGTACTCTTCCCACAGATTTGGGACGACGCCATTCGGTTGCGCCTGCGTCATACAAGCATGAGAAAGTGAGTGGTTTTCCAATGGGTCGTCGTTGCAACTGGTGGCTTGTGAGGCGACGCCCGCATCTGGAAATCCAAATCCTGCATCATCTGGAAGCAACAAGGGTGTATATGTGTGGTGTCGTGTGGGGGACGCCTTAGTTATTACAAAGTGGCGCTCCGAGCTCGCTTCGCACCACGCGAGGAGGGATCGCAGACGGCGCTGCTCCTGGTCGTACTGCTGCAGCTGCTCTGCATTGGCAGCCTTGTCACTCTTGCTCTTGTTCTTGCTCTTGCTCTTGCTCGTCGACTTGCTGCTGGACGCGGCAGTCTCATCGACGGCGACCAAGGCGGCTGCGTTTGGCTGGGCTGACATTGCCTTCTAAGAAACGAACAAAGAACAGCAGCAAGACTGGCTTCAGAGCAGATCAGATCAGATCAGATCAGATCAGATCAGAATTGAGCATCATCTTAATTTAACATGAATCATGATTGAGTGACGGTTGGCGGGTTTTTTGTGTGCTTTGATCCAGTCGATTGAGAAAATGGCAGAGTTTCCATTGAGTTTCCATTGAATCCCCTTCTCTTTCAGTTCCGTTGATCTTCTTCATCCTTCTTAGTCTTACTCTTAGAAATAGCATCCGACTAGTCTTTATTTTTTTTTTTGACTATTTAGCCTCAGTCGCTCGCAATGGCAGACGCTGAGGAACTGGCGCGCATTGAACGCGGCCGCGCTCTCCTTGTAAAAAGCAATCCCCAACTTTACCCATTTTCAATAAACCAGAGAGCCTTTTTGTTTTGCAATAACATCAAAGCCATTGAAGCCGAAAATTCTCGTCATGATGGCTTGCATTGAACTGATTTTTCTATTGATTTTGCATTGAACTGATTTTTTCTATTGAATTTGCATTGAACTGACTTTTTTTTTTTTTTTTTTTTTTTTGTTAGAGCAAAAAGACAAAGAAGCTGAACAAGCCAACAGCTGCGCCCGCCGCTGTGGCTGCTGCCGAGACATCCGAGACTGGAGCATTGCAGCAACAGACACACGGCCAGCACGAACGCAGCGGAATTGCTGCAGCAGGAGCTGTGGCTGCGAGCGAGGACAAGCCGGCTGCTGCTGCTGCTGCGTTATTCGAGCACGACGCTGCTGCTGCTGCGGCGGCGCCGATCGCATTCGCAGACGCGATCGCAGCACGCACAGTGCACAACAACATTAACGCTGCCGCAGAGCGCAGGGCAGGGAGCGCCGCCCGTCCGCCGCTGCCGCAGAGCTTTATGGACGAGTCGTTCAGCTACTTTGGCGGAGATCCCGCTGCCGAGCAGCAGGCCATCGCGATGCCGCCGCCAGCACAGCAGCAGACGCCTATTGTCGCTGCAGCAGTCACGGGCAGCATGGACGCGCCGAGAGTGCTGCACGGATATGCTCAATCGCCACAACTCGAGCCCCATCCTACCTTTGCCGCCGCCGCGCAGTACCATCAGCCTGCAGCTGCACACAATGGCACAATGCCTGTTGACGATCCCGTTCTGCGGGACAAGCTGGCTGCGGCAGAAAGCAAGGTCTATCAGCTCGACGCCGCCCTCGTTACTGCGCTCCGCGACGCAGAACAGCTGCGCAGCCACCACCAGCAGCTCCAGCAGCAACTCCAGGCGCAGCTCGAGCAGCAGTATCACACACAGCTTGCCGAGCAGGCCAACCACTTCAAGCAACAGGCGCAGGAAGCAGAGAAGCTCGTCGTTCAACTGCGGCAGGGGCACCTTCAGGATCGGCAGGCGTGGGAGCGCGAGGCAAAGCAAAAGGATGCCGCGCGGCAAGCCGACGTCTTGCAGCAAACTGCAGAGAAGGAGGATCTTCGGCAGACCATCCACCATCTCGAATCAAAGCTCCACGAAGCAACTGCTTCCACGAAATCCAACGTTGACACTCTCGAACAGCGCGAGCGGGAACTCGACCAGCTCAAGCGCGATAACAGTGCCATTGACACCAAGTTGAACCAAGCGGTGGCTCGTTCGGAGCTGATCGAGCAGGAGCGAACCCAGGAGCGAAACCAGCTGAACGCTGACCTTGCGGCCGCACGAAAGCGCGCAGAGGCGGCTGAGCACAGCGCCAAGCAATCTGACGCGCGCGCCGCTGATGCGGATGCACGCACCAAAGCCCTCGAGCAGCGCGCTGTTGCTGCCGAGGCCCGCGTCACCAGCTTGGAGCAACGTGCCATCGTCCCGCAACAGGACCTCCCGACTGCGGCATCCTTGTTCCAAAAGCCTGCCGCCTCACCCACAGTCGAAGCCCAGCTTCGCCACGAAATCTCCAAGCTGAAGGAAGACCTCGAGCGTCTCCACGTTGCCGCGAGGGACCGCGAGGACTTTGAGCCTTTGTACCAACAAGTTTCGACGCAGCTGCTTGAGCGAGACAATGAGCTTGCAGCTGCCAAGATCGCCTTGGAGAGCAAGCAAAGTCAAATTCTTGCCCTCCAGCAAGCCGAATCCAAACTTTTGGCGGAGCGACAACAACTCGAAAAGCAGGTGCAGGACAAGGATGACGAGATTGCGCAAATGATTGAGGCCGAAGAGCTTCGCGTGGATGCGGAACTGAATGCGGAACTGGATGCAGGCAAACACTCCTCTGGTGTTGCCGACCACCTCGAGCAGCTTGGCACGTTGCAAACGGAGGTACGAGCTGGCGAGAATCAGCGTCTCCAGCTCGAAGTCACGATCGGAACGCTCACCCATGAACGTGACCAGCTGCGATCGCAGCTGAATGTTGCGCTGGAAAAAGAGAAGCAGCTCCAGCAGGCGCTCAACCTGGCAAAAGAGGAGCGCAAACAACGTGCTGACGAGCCCCAGGCCCGCCCGCGGGACTTTGCTGATGCCTCGCCGACGATCGGACGTGCCAGCGAGCATGAAAAAGGAGTGCAGCAACACCTCGAGCGGACTGTGGCAGCTGCCACAGAACAGGCTGCGGAACAAGCCAGCGGCCTCGCGCTGCTCGAGATGCGCCTCAGCTCGCTTGTTGGTCATATTGCCAAGCTCAAGACCGCTCTCGGCCAGGAGCGGGGCCGCAACTCCATGCTGCTCCACCTCTGCCGCGACCAGGAGCAGCAACTTTCCAATCTTGTGCAAGGCGGCGCTGTTGCCTCGAATTGAGCTTTGAACGGTGCCGACCAGGCTGCTGAAATTTTCTATTTGCACAAGAGAGTTGGACGGGTTGCAATTTGTGTCGTTGATTTTTGATGGAAGTGTTGTTGTTGTTGTTACAAAACGATATAAGGCAAAAACGAAGTATCAATTCTGGCGTTAACAAGTTTTAACAAAAGGGGCCAAACCTTGAAGACGGGCGATGTGCGTGATTGCAATGGTAGCGAATACCATCAGCATCAGCATTCAACACCGGCTGGGATTCCGACTCTAACGTTGTCGCAGTATGCACCGTTGGCATCCACTGCGAACGAACCCGCTTTTTGCAACTGCGCCCAAGTGTATCCGTCCGTTGGCATGCGAATGGTGTGAGGGTAGAGTAGAGCAGACCACGGCTGCTTGACATCAATCAAGAAAAAGTCTCGGAAGTTTTGCACCGGTCCTCGAGAAAGTGGGTTGACGAATCGCTGTTGCAGTTCAGCAGTTAGAATTCAGTCAACCGCTCCAAGGTACAGATTCCAGCATCATTGCGTCGGGTGGTATCTCTTCACCTTGCCCATGCGCTTCAATTCGGCTCGAAGGTCGTTGTTCCGATGGTACTCGATCGTTGTTTGCGCGGTCGAAACCAAGTATAACTGCCAAACAAACAGCGCCCCCACAGCAACCGCGACGGCGAACGACGCCGAGAAGGTGTACAGGACGATACCTCGAGCATTATCAGGGTATTCGGGCTGAGCGAGCGCGAACGATGACGGGCGAGAGAAAAAACCGAAACAAAAATCAACACGAGTCAGTGGCTTGCACCAAAATCCCACAAAGGAACAATGCGCTCAGCGCACGTACCGGGTTCGGTGAATCAAAGCAGACCATAAACGGTCCAGACGATGCCGCGCAAATGTAGCTGCAGGCAATCGTCACATACGCCAGAAACAGCACAAAGTACACGTGATTGTGGTGTCCGACGCACTGGTTGATCCACGGACAATGGTGATCCATCTTTAAGATGCACGAGCGACAAATGGTGCAATGAAACGCTCGTGGCGGCTTGCTCACAATGCCTGTTTGGTCACAACAAGCGAAACATGTCAATCAGTACACAGAAGTCTCCAATCCCTGCACGGTGGGAGCTTTTTTTTTTTTTTCTTTTTTTGCGCAGTTAGGATTAACCGAGTACGAGCATGTCTTGCTCGCATGACGTACATGGCTGGCACGATCTTGGCGGGTAGAGTTCGGCCTGGAAACAACATCGAAGTGAGATTGGTGAGATTCGGTCGTAACTCGGAACAGTGCCATTTTTTGTGCTCTTACAGCAGTGGCGGACGAATTGAGGTCTGTCTGCGCAATGTACGACGATGCCGACGATGCCGACGATGACATGGCGACTGCCGAGACGCGACCGGGCGAGACTCCGACGCTCATGGCAAAGTTGAAGACGAGGTTTGGCATTGCCCAGAGCAGCAGCAGCCAGTGCGCGAGCCACCCGAGCCACGCCGACCAGAAGAAGTCGTCGTTGTCGTGGGTTGTTTGGCTGAACTTGAGCACCGTGTTTGGCGCAATGACCCAGGTGTACCCCGACGGAATCGTCACAATGAGCGCGGCAGCAAGCGCAACCATCAGCGGGCCACACCAGCGGATGACTGGGTCGAGGATGTCGCCGAGCCTGTTCATCAGTCTGTCGAGCGCAGCCATCACGACAGCAGTGAGCCGATCGAGCAGCTGCATTGGATTTGTGGCCAAAAAAAAAAAAAAAAGCGGAGGGAAAGACTGAGCCCGCTCAGACATGATGACATGCATGGACGAAATTGCAAAATTCAGAGCACTGACTCTACTGGTATCACTCAGAGGGCTGACCGTCTCTCAGCGATCTCAGAGCTCTGGCTGGACTGGTTAACCCTCAGTTAGCTCAGAGTTTGCACAAGTCGCTCAGTTCAATGCAACATCAAACCAGATTGGCTCCGAATAGTCCAGCTTGACCCCCTGCACTCTAGCTTGTACCAGTCCCCTTTTTTCATTTCTTGAAACGATGAGCACTCCCATGGACATTGATGAGACGTCCCAAGCGTCGATTCAGTCGGCGGCTTCATCGCCCAGACGCAGCACTCGCATTTCGTCGCGTGCATCGACGCCTGCGCCTGCGCCAGTCCTGGCTCGGGCAACTCGCGATGCAACCGAAGCAGTCAATCAAGCCAGCAACACGGCAGACTGGGTGGCTGCAGCACCGCGGCCGGTGCAGCCGCCAACGGACGGAAGCGCATTCGACGCGCTTGCTCACATTAGCTCCAGCGCGTACAACAACAGCCGCACAGCCACATTGGCATCGCCAGTGCCGGACGTGTGTCGTACCGCGCCGTGCTGTCTCGGCATCGACGAAGCAGGCCGCGGTCCTGTGCTTGGTAACGAAAGCCGATTTCGATTGGATGTGTGGTGTTTTTGGCGGGAGAAGTGAGATTTCCCGCCAAAACGTGAACGAACAACAATAGGGAAACTCCTGCTCAGCTGGGATGAGCGCTAATCTTGGGACATGGATTTCTCTGTGTACGTGCGAATTTTTGTTGTTGTTGTTATAGGACCCATGGTGTACGGCATCAGCTACTGCCCGCTCAGCGACGATCCCCGCCTGCGCCAGATGGGCTTTGACGACTCAAAGAAGCTCGACGAGCCAACGCGCCGGCGTCTCTTTGACGACATCAACAAGGCCAACGACTTTATGGGATTTTCCGTGTGTGTGATCTCCCCGCAGGACATTTCGAGCAGCATGCTGCGACGGTACGCCCGCCAACAAACCAATTTTTTCATGCCTTCTTGTTCTTGGAAACCGCTCCGAAACTCATGTGATCGACATGCGCAGAGCCAAGTACAACCTGAATGCGCTATCGCACGACACAGCCATGTCTCTGGTGCAGCGGGCGCTGGACGATGGTGTCAACATTGCCAAGGTGAAGTGAACGCGCAGCCAAGCGTTGGCTGTTGTTGGATGCCACAACAATCGCGCGATTCTAAACGTCTGAATTTTGGGGAGGGTAGGTGTTTGTGGACACGGTTGGCACGGCTGAAACGTATCAAGAGAAGCTTTCCGAGCGATTCCCAGGCATCGAGTTCAAAGTTAGCGCAAAGGCAGACAGCCTCTTTCCGATTGTTTCTGCCGCGAGTATTTGTGCAAAAGTATGCAACCGTAGCGCTCGAGTGTGGCCGCATTCTATCTTGCTCTATGTGGGGCTTCAGGCGATCGCTAAACTCACCCTCGCGATTGCGATTCTTGTTGGCAGGTTGTCAGGGATCACGTTCTCGATATTTGGCAGTTTAGTGAACCGCACGGAAGTACAATTGGCCGCGATTTCGGATGCGGCTACCCTTCAGGTTTGTCTTCTGATTGCCAGATCTGCGCATTGTGTCCCAACCCTCTTGACACGTTCGGCGACTCAAACGGCAGTTATTTTTTTTGGGTGCAATGTAGATCCAGTCACCAAACAGTGGCTCCAGACCAACATGGATTCAGTGTTTGGATTCCCTGGCGTTGTTCGGTTTAGCTGGGGCACGTGCAAGAACATTCTGATCGATCGAGCGGTGAACGTGACCTGGTACGAATTCAGTTTTTGTTGGGGCTTTCAATGCTGCAATGGCTGCTAACCTGACTTGTCCACCAACACCTGCCCCCCTGGGCCTCCATTTCAACCACACAGGGAAGATGATGGCGAGGACGAGGACGACGAGCGTGCAAACGCCAAAAAGAGCAATCATTCCATACTTGAATTCGTCAAGCCCACTGCACCCAAACGACACCGCTACTTTATCGAGCGAAAGCTTGAAATCGTACAAGATTTGCGATGAGTGCTATGGACCAGAAAATCAATTAGGAGTACTATTCAAAGTGTGGCCAACAACCAACCTTTTCAAACAGTCCAACCCTAAAAAAAAAGCCATAGATTTCTGAGCAAGGGACTCAGAAGCTCGATCAAGCTTTCGATTCGGGCTTTGGAATTGCTTCGCGTGACAGCTGAGCCATAAACTCGATCAGAGGGCGAGTGGCACGACCTGTGTGGGTGTGTGTGTGTGTGATGGTAAGCACAAAAAGTTAAACCTCTGAAAGCAAAACACGAAACCGCCCCCCCCAAATCCTACAAACTTACCAGTCATGCCGGCAGACATGAAGCCAGTCGGTGCCGCGTAGTGCATGACGCCAGCAATGTCGATATGCGCCCAGCTCTTGCTCTCCACAAACTTTTCCAAGAAGGCTGCAGCGGTGCACGAGCCACCGCCATTTTTGCCAGTGTTCTTGATGTCAGCAAAGGTCGATGTGATGCTGTCACGGTGCTCCTGGAAGATTGGCATTGGGTGGAAGGGATCGGTCGCCAGGTTGCCGGCTGCGCGCAGCTTCTTGGAAAGGGTGGCGTTGTTGGAGAAGAGGCCTGCAGCAGCATTTCCAAGAGCTACAGCAATGGCACCCGTCAGCGTGGCCACATCGATGATCGTGTGCGGCTTGTACGCCCGCTGAGCATACGTCAAGGCGTCCGCCAGAATCAACCGGCCTTCGGCGTCAGTGTTGTCCACCTCAATGGTCTGCCCGCTCATCGACGTGACCACATCGCCGGGCTTGATAGCGGTGCCAGAAGGCATGTTTTCGCAGAGCGGCGTGACCACCACAACGTCGATCGGCAGGCCGAGGCGGACGGCGCCGAGCAGCGCGCTGACCACGACAGCCGCACCGCCCATATCGCCACGCATCTCGCCCATGCCAGCCGATGGCTTGATGGAAATGCCACCACTGTCAAAGGTGATGCCCTTGCCCACCAACACCAGTGGGGCGGCATCGCGATTGCCCGAGCCGCGATACTCAATTTCGAGGAAGCGCAGCGGCTCGCTTGTGCCCTGAGCGACGGCCAGGTAGGCGCCCATTTTCTGCTGCTCGGCCCAAGCCTTGTCATGGGCGGTAAAGCGCACAACATCCTTGTCGATGAACGGCTGGAACTCTTTGCGCACCGTGTCGACGAAAATGCTCGGCGTCATGTGGTTGGAGGGCGTCTCTGCAAGCGTTCGTGCAAAGTTTTGGCAGCTTGCAGTCAGCAAGCCACGTTCAAACGCGCGGCTGGTCTCGCCAGAGCCCACTGTCGTTGCACCACCAGCAGCACCAGCCGCATTGGCGCTCTCAATGATGGAAAAGCTCGGCGTCTGGTTCTTGTCGCTGGGCTTGAACGCACGCAGCGCATGCGACGACAGTGCTGCACCTTCCGAGAGCCCCTGCCCATGCAGTGGCATGTCAAACACCACGTTCGAGGCCTTCACGGCGCGTGCAGCGGTGGTGACTTGAGCGGCAACGGATCGCGCCGTCTTGAGCTGCTTGGCTTCGGCGGCTGTCGTCGCGTCCTGCGGATCGACGGTCGACTCTGACGCGCTGTCCTGAGGAGCAAGAAGCGTCGTGGGTGCCTCTCCAAGTCCACCGACGACGACGTGTCGGTAGCGTGGATGAACGCCATGCAGCGTCACGCAGCCAGTCTTGATCTGCCCAAACTCTGGCAGCGACGTCTGAACAGCACGCACTGCGCGCGAGATGGCGCCACCGGACTCTTGATCGTGCAGCTCAAAGCTCGCAGATGCAACGAAGCTCGCGGGTTCGGTCTCGGGCGAAGTGGATGTCTTGGCTGTTGCGCTCGCTTCTGCTGGCTTGGCTGGCTTTGGCTTGGCAAACACGCCGATCGCGAGCACTGCACCACCAAAGCAAAGCAACGACAATCATTGATGAGCATAGTTGTGATATCGGAGTCGAAACCAAAATATCGAACAGGAGGAAAGTCCATCAAAGACAAAGGAACTTTGGCTGGAACTCCATTGGGCGTTCGATCTCTCCTTGGATTGGAGGCAGGGCCGAGGTTGAGAGCACCAAAAACAAGATCATAGTGACAAGAAGTACAGACCTTCGGTTTGGACGGCGGTCGAGTACAATCGAGCGCCATGCTGCGCGGCGGCGGTCGTGCGCCCAAAGAGCTGAAGCATTGGATGGGAAGACTGAGCGACTCAGAAGTGGACAAGTTGATAGAAAGTATATTTTATTGTACTCGACTACACGAATCTCACATGAGGAGTAGGAACGCGGTGCACTCGTTCCTGCTATCAACTTTGACATTTTACAGCAGGATTTGTGCCGTTCACGTTTCACTGAGATCGACCATGGATGGCTTGTAGAATTCGCTTGGCTTCCTCCCGATCCTGTTCAACCAAACGTGGCAAAGAAGCATTATGAGAGACGAAAAAGACGTCGCAAACAAAACAAAAAAACAAAACAAAAAAAACTCGCCCTCTCCCTCTCCCCCTCTCGCAAAATTGCTCTGTGTCGCGTACCGTTGTCAAAGACGCACACGTCAGCACCTTGGTGGCATACGTCTCGGCGGTAGAGCGTTCGCCCTCCACAAAGTAATACTGCGCAAGGTAGAGCAAGGCTTGCACAACCACCTTGGCGACGAAAGCCGTTGCCGTGGCCAAATCCTGTCCGTACGTTTCGACACACTTTTTGCAGTAGATGACGGCCATTTCGGGAATCTTGAGGCTCATGTACATGTTGCACATGATGGCAACGACCACGCCCTCCGAGTCGCCGAGCTGTTCTGCATTAGAGTAGCACCGAAGCGCGTCTTCGTACATGTTCAACTTTTCGTGCATGGTGCCGACAGCGACGTGCATGCGGGAGTCCTCGGGGCGCAGCTTGAGGGCCTTTTCGTAGTAGAGGAGCGCAAAATCAAAGAGTTTCAGCAGCTCATACCCTTGACCAAGCGCATACCAAGCGCGGAAGTCGATTTGGTTGACTTCTGCTCGAGGAAAGGTAGGTAGTGTCACCGAGCCAAACAACGGTTGGACAAATTTGATGGAGTGAGACTTTCAATGCACCCCAGGTCATCATCACCCAACAACCGTTCATGTCCCTCCCTACCTGATGCACGACGATAAGCTTCAACCGCAGCAGGCATGTTTCGCAACTCAATGTATTCGTGTCCCATCAGCAGCCATGCGGCTCCAAAGTTCCGGTCCAGCCGTAGCGCTCTTTGGAAAAACACGACTGCCTTTTCGTGCTCGCATCGCATGGCATAAAAGTTACCTGTCAAAAACAAAAACAAAAACAAGCAAACAAAATCAAGCAAACAAAAACAAGCAAACAAAAACAAGCAAACAAACCCAATATCACAGTGAATCAAAGGACCAAAATCATCCGACGAATCTGGACCGTTTGGCTCTTGGTTGTTGGACCAATTTTCACTCACCGACAACGCAACACGTTTCGGGCCGATACTTGTCCGTGGCCGTGCATGTTTGCGCTAACGTTCCAAGCTCTTGCGAGCGCTCTTTCACAAACAGCATGTTTGACAAGACATCCATGCTATCAAGACGGTGGGGATCGAGAATGCGAATGATGGAAAACGCATCCATTGCGGCAGTGTAATCTGTTGTTGTGGAAGTGGGGGGGGGAGGAAAAAGGGCAAGTCAAAGTGACAATCGAAAAAGCTGCAGGCACGCTTCCGTCGAACATACCTCGCTTGTTGTAGGCCGCAAGAGCAGCTTCGCCCCAAATAAAAGCGCTGCGTCCAAACACTGAGGCGAGGGCCAGGCTGCGCTCAAGAGCCGAATCGTTTCGTTGCAATCGACGCTCCAGATGCGTCTCAAACACCTCACGAATCCAGTGATCGCCAAAGGGTGCCTCGTCCAAGTCGAGCTCATGGTCGCACAGATCAGCAATTTCAGTCCAAACAGCCCAGTTCAGTGGGCAGCGATCGGCCGCTTCAACCAGAATCGTCAATGCAAGCCCATCAAGCTCAATCGCTCGAAGAATCAGGGCATACATGTACAGGCCGAACGAATCCAGCTGGTCGGCCTCGTACAAGGCGGATAGCTCGGTATGAAGCGACTTTACCTCCTTGTTCTTGACAAAATTGCGCGTGCTCGAGACTGGTGTGCCTTGCGTTGCCCAGCCCATGGACCCGCCGGGAGCGTTGGGTCCCAACTGCTTTTGCTGAGGGTGCTGGGGCCGTCCCTGTGATTGTCCGGCGGTGGTGGTGCTGGTGCCCACAATGAGCGGGTCGCCGAAAATGCTGGCCGAGGTTGCGTCAGTCTCCTCCTCGCTGCGGCGTTCTCCGGCCAAGTAGCGAGAATACCATCTCAAGAAGAGCGCTGTATGCCCCTTGGCGTTCCGCAAGATGTGGGCCACGCGATCATACTCTCGCATGTCGAACAGCGACTTGGCAAAGGCAACGCGGTCGGCCTCGCGCGCCTCGGTCTGCATGTTCCACAATGGATCGAGATACTCTTGCTCCACCGCGTCCTGCATTTCGAAATCTTCCTCGGTCTCCTCGTAGTCATAGTCGCCCGGATCGCCTGCAAAACGGCCTTCAATCGCGGCAGCGCCAGTCCGCGTTTCCTGGCCACCAGCCGCAGCGGTTGCCAGCCTCTGCGCTTCCGACTCTTCTGGAGTGGCCACTGCCCACGCCATCTCTGTAGCCCAGCTGGCCGAGTGGAGCAGGCCTCGCCGAGTGCACTCTCGCGCAGCCCAGCGAAGCTCCGCTCGAACGCGCCGCACCTCCACCAGTTCGCCGCCAATGTCGACCCATTTCGAGCTGTGCATATCCTCGTTGCCAGTCAACAGGTGCTCGCGGTAGTAGATTGGCTCGCCTTGTCCCACTTCGATCGGGGCTGCTGCAGTACTGCTGCTGCTTGCGCGACGAGCGTTCTCGTTGCTGCCCAGACCGCTGTCCTCGCCCTGGTCTTGATCGTCGTCCTCAAAGTCAGGCTCAATGTACAGCGCGTTGCCAGGCGCAGCAGCAGCGGGTTTCGCGCCAGTCGCTCGCTTGCCTGCTGAGCCAGCAGTGCTGCCCGCCTTGGGCGTCTGTGGCGTTCTCGATCCGAGCGGTCCCGATGCGGCCGCACCTCGTCTGCTTGTCGGGGTTGGTGTGTGATGAGAAGCAGCAGCAGCAGCAGCAGCAGCAGCAGCGTCGGCGGCGGCGGTCGGGGACTCTACGCTCCCAGATCGCAGGCGCAAGGTCGTCCTGGTGGTGCTGCTGCCTGCAGTGCTCCCTGCCCGAGTGCCAGACGCGGCAGGCGTGGCAGCCAATCCAGATGCGCTCGACGAGGATGATGCAGCCGATCGCGCGGCGCTTGACGACGACGACGACGAGGACCTGCCTGAGACGGGCGTTTTGCGAGTGCTCATACCCTCCAACGATTCAAGAGTGATTTGAGCAAGCAATGAAGACTGAGATGGTGCTAAAAGTCTATTCAAGATACGTTATGCCATGGTCGGGGACCAAGGAAAGGGAAGCCGATTGAAACGATTCGAAAAACAAGAAGAAAAAAAAAGCGCGGGAAACTCAAATTTCGTTTCAAAACAACTTGTCAAGGTTTTGCCAGGACGCGAGCATGACACATAACACCACGTAGGAGCAGCACAAACATTCAAGAACCATCGAGCAGGAAACAGTCTGGCAACAACCGACGTGCTGGTGTTTCAACTCTCATTCGTCAAATTCGAAAACTTGAAACCGTCCCGCACGAGTTGGACGGAACACGTCGAGCGCAGGCGACTTGAGACTGTTCTCGCCTGATGGAAGCGCCGATGGCACTAGCAACAGCGTTCGAGGCGACGTCGGCGATGCCAAAAGCAGCTGCTGAGCAACCTGCACAGCCGAGACTGGAGGTCGGACTGGGCTTTGCAAGTGCGTTGGAAGAGTCACATGGACATCAGGGCTTGGAAAGAGCATCTTTTGGGCATATCCATGAAGTGCATCCTTCCATTGGCTCAAGCGAGCACCAAACGTGCTCTGAGAGCGATGTTGCTTGACGCCACGACCGACAGAGGCCGAGCTTGGCGATGTGAAATGCCGGCCGCGTGCATGGCGGAGTGCTGGTGTCGCTCGAAGTTGTCGAGACACGGGCCGTTCTGGCGGTGCAAGCCGTGACTGAGGAGTGTCGGGCACAAGCTCAACTTCTGACTGCTCAGCATCTTGCCACTGTGCATGTTTGCCTGCCAAGCTGCTCTTGTGAGCTCTGCTGGATCCCATGCCATTGGAAGGCAATGCAGCAGAGCTCTTTTCCCGCGGGGTCGACTGGCGTGCAGCTTTGATGTTGGGCGAAGTCAGCTCGGCAAGGAGATGGTGATTTCCAGGCGAGCGCAGGACTGGCAAGGCTGCTCGTCGTGGCGTACCACTCCACTTGACCGTTTTTGCCCCATCAGGCACCATCGTCATATTGTCATGACCCGAGCGTGTCCAGAGAGAAGGGACGGAGCCGGGGATGCTGTTTTCGTCGCCTTGAGCTGGCGGCGATGCCGCAACAACCGTCCCTTCGCTGTTGCTGTCAATGGCAGGCTCAGGCGTAGATTGCATAGGCGCAAACAGTGGGACCAAGGTTTGGCTAGTGGCCGGAGCGACGGATGGTCTGGTCTGCGGGGTATGGGGCACAACAGCCACGGGAGATGTTTCAGGCGATCGATGGGAGACTTCGCTTGCTTCATCCTCGCTGGCTGCATTCATGATGAATAGACGCTCAACCACATCTTGCAGTTCCTTGCGATTGTGCATGCTGTCAGCCTTGTTGATAATGTGGGGCAGGTGCAGGGCTGCAGAGTAGAAGGACTCGAACTCGGCTGGGTCTGCAAAGTCAATGCTGTGGAAGGAGTCTCGTTCTGGCACAATCCGGTGCTTGATGTTTTGCAGTAGCTTCATCCACACAGCTCGCGCGGTGCATGACGGAGACGGTAGCAGACCATTAGCAGTGTCACGGGAAGCGACATTGTCATTTGTGCTCTCAATACCGCAAGCCATTGCAGAATGCTCCGACGGGCAAGACAGGTGGCCTTGCAACACGAGCGTGCGCCAAAACTCGCAAGAGCCATCAGCAGCTTTACTCGGGGGCTGCCCTCTTTCAAGCTGCAACACCTCGGACAGCGACGGCACGCCTCGAGCCGCGGTGCACTTGCTCAGTGCGTTCGGCGACAGAACGCTCGCAAGCCTGGCAGCTGTAATCTCATCGTCCAGACGGTCAGCGAGCAGCACGAAAATACCGTTGATCACGCTCTCGGCAAACACGCTCGGAGCCAGTGGCACCACATCACAGTGAACGAGTGCGCGAGTGATTCTCGTCACGAGAAAGATCAGCGTGTCGATCGGCAAGTCATCGAATACCTGTGTGTCAGTGCGGTGCAAGTGCAATGCAGGGCACAGTCAGAGCAAACCACAAGCAAGCAGCGCTGGGGAGGGAAGGGCAAAACGAAACCAGAAGCAAAGAGGAAAAAAGAAAAAAAAATGGCGGGAAACCAGATGAACGCCAGTTTCTGGCTTGAAACAGATTCGTGTTCAGCTTCTCGTTGAGAGCAGCGAGCAAAGGCTCCCGTCTCCGCTTTGCGCTTCACCCAAGGGGCAACGACACAGAGACAAAGAGAGCATGCTGGAAGAGGCGCGCGCGGGGGGGGGGAAGGACGGAGGTCGCGCCTTACGCCTGCCTCGGCGCCGAGAGGGTAGGGAATCCCGACGCCTGCAAACACCAGTCCGCAGCCAGCAAGGCTTCGCCCGTCGTCGCCAGTGCCAGGGCCGCGCTTGAGTGGTTGACAAAACTGCCTGCAAAACTCTGTCACGCCGGCAAGCCACAGCTGCAGCTCGGCGTCGGTGAGCGTGCGTTGGCCCATTGGGGTCAGCCACATTGCTGCTTGAGAAAAATGAAACAAAAATGACTGATTTTGAATGGGATTTCCCCTTTGCAATTGAGTGATCGTTGCCAGCTTTGTTTTTCCCCCCGTTTGAGTGCTGGCTGAATTACATTTTCACAATCAGAGCCTTCAATCCGGATTTGGATGAAGTGTCATTCAGCAAAACTCAAAAGCAAACCGTTTCGTCTTTTTTTTTTTTCTTCCTTCTCTCTTTGCGGCAAACCTTCGGCAACCTCGGTTCATACGACCAAGCAGCACACAACACAGCCACAGCTTTTTTTTAACGTGTCATCTCTCAACCAACCCGCTCCACCAACACCATGTCGACATTGCTTGTGAACGCGGCCTCTCCGACGCCGTTGATCAAACCAAAGACTGCTTCGCCAGCCAAGCCCGCTGCCGCCGCTGCCTCCACTTCCACGACCATCATCGCAGAGCTCTCGCTCATCCGCCCTGACGGCACCACTGGCACCAAGTTCCCCTTTGCCCAGGACGACTATGTCTTTGGCCGGTGAGTCGTTTCTGCGAATGCGAGTTGAAAGCAGGAGACGGGAATTTTCAAACAGCCAAAACCAGTAAAAAAAAATCAAAAACAGAGAAGCGAAACCACTCTTCGCTATAACGCAGCCATCCTCGGTTTCCGCTGAGGTTGTCCATGCACTCCGCATGCAACATGATCCACTTGATATCTCTATCGAGTCGACATGCATGACTCGGGAGTGGCTGGTTTGATGTTGAGGTTGCAGAGCTTTTGGAACTGTGAGCTCAACTTCACTTTTCAAATATTTTCAATTTTGGCGCCTTTTTTTTTTCAACTGTTTCGCATTGTTGTTTCAAAACAAAAAAAAATTGCAACCTCTCATGCAAATTTTAGATTGTTGAAAACCAAACATCACCAATTCACGACATCTCACCGTTGACTGGGTTTGTTTTTGATTCTGCAAATGTGAACACACAGCGACTTTGAGTGCACGGTTCGCGTTCAGACCAGCGGTGTGCAAGAGCGCCATGCCTTCCTTCGCAACCTGAACAACTCCAAGATTGTCCTCGGCCCGATGAACGAGAACTGCCTCGTCAAGTTGAACCAAGCGCCCATCACCGAGGCGACTGAGCTCAAGCACAACGACGTGTTCCAGATTGGCGGCCGCTCGTTCCGCTTTGAGTTCCTGGCTGGTCATGCCCCTGGTTCGGCCAAGAAGGCTCCTCTGGCTGAGAAGCAGGCTGCTGCTGCCGAGCCCAACTTGCTCTTGTCCTACACACCCATCAAGTCGGCGTCCTCGAGCAAGGCTGCCTCGCCAGTCAAGACTGCCTCGCCAGTCAAGACTGCTTCGCCCAAGACTGCTTCGCCCAAGACTGCCTCACCCAAAGCTGCGTCCCCTGCCAAAGCCGCGTCCCCTGCCAAAGCCGCCTCGCCTGCAAAGGTCGCCTCGCCCAAGCTCAAGACACCCGTGCGCGCTGTCGCCAACATTGAGAACATGGTCCCGGCATCCAGCACTCGCAAGCTGACCTTTGGTCCTCGCACACCACAGGCAGCTGTTGCACCTACGCCCATGCGTCAGATGCCTGCTGGCGATCTCGATTTCGGCACACCCAAGTCGCGCTTGCTCGAACGCCAGTCGGCCGCGCTCGCTGCATTCATGGCCAACCCGATGCCCAAGCCAGTTCTGTTCGCCGAGCCGGTCGTCGCCGTTGCAGCCTCGCCGGTCAAGACGGTCACGCCCGTGACTGCCGTGCAAGCCTCGGCCGAGCCGGAAGTTGCCGCTGAGATCAAGCCGTCCCTCGCGACTCCGCTTCGTGCCGCGATTGTCAAGGGCGCGCCGTTGCGCAAGCGCGAGGAGAAGAAGCTTCGCACACCCATCCGCGCTGCCATCCAACAGGGAGCCACTCTCAAGACTCGCAAGGTCGCCAAGCTCGACGAGCCGCTGCAGGCGTCCATTCAAGCGGGCGTCACGCTCAAGCAGAAGAGCATTGGCGCACAGTCCAAGCTTGCCACTCCCATCAAGAAGGACTTGCTGTCTGGCGCTACAAAGTTGCGCGCCGCTCCCCACAAGACCAACAAGCTCGCCACGCCTGTGCGCGCAGAAATCCAGTCTGGCGGCGCGGCTGCCAAGCTGAAGAAGCAGGTCAAGTCGAAGGCGCTTGACACGCCGACCCGCAACGCCATCGTCGGCGGTGTCTCGCTCCGCGCCAAGAAGATTGCCGACAAGACCATGTCGTTCGAGGTCTCTGACGCAATTGCTACCGCTGCTGCCGAGCGCGCCCAGCGTGTGCAACCGCTCTCTACTCTGCCCACTATGGCCGCAGCGCTGCAAAGCGCAATCGGAACCCCGAGCGCCAAGAACAAGCTGCAGCCTGCCGTGGAGCTCCACCCCATGCCGACCCCGGTTCGCAAGGACATTGAGACCAAGACCGCCAAGCTCAAGTCTCGCCCGGCTCCGCTTGCCATCCCCGCTGATCTCAAGGCAGAGATCTCCAGCAACAATGTCAAGCTCAACCCGCTTGTCAAGAAGGGCAATTCTGCTCTTCTTGGCGACATTCGCACTGCGGAAGTCAGCAAGCTCAACAAGGTCACCAAAAAGTCGGCCGTCGGCACCCCCGTCCGCCAGGCTATTGTTGCCGGCACGACCCTCAAGCCACTCATCAAGCAAGTCAACCCTGAGCTGCTGCAGGACATCCGCACCGATGCTGTTCAGCTGAACAAGCTCACCAAGAAGTCTGCTCTCGGAACGCCCGTCCGCAACGAAATTGTTGCCGGCAAGTCGCTCAAGGCCAAGGACATTGGCGCTGTTGCCTCGCTCGCAACCCCCGTCAAGCAGGCTATTGCTGCCTCCAACCCTGGCCAGCTTCGTGCCAAGCAAATTGTCCCCGCCGACCGCAAGATCCCCGTTGAGCTTCTTGCTGGCGTTGCCTCGCAGCCCACCCTCAAGTCTGTCGACCTGCGCCACACTTCGATTGCTTCTGGCTCGGCCCTGTTGGTCACCCCACCTGCCTCCGACGATGATGAGCTGGTGCCAACTCTCCCAGTGGAGGAGTCTGTCGTCGAAGCCGATATTGTCGTCGAGGCAAAGGCTGCCCCCGCTCGCAAGGGTCGCGGAAAGAAGGCCGTCGTTGAGCCTGTGGTCGTGTCGGCTCCCGTTGTCGCGGTTGAAGAGGCTGCACCTACTCCTGCAGCAGCAACACGCAAGACGTCAGCTGCTCGCGGCAAGAAGTCGGTTGCTGCTGTAGAGGAAACTGCCCCTGCTGCCCTTATCGAGCCGGTCGTTGCTGAGCCCGAGAAGGTTGAGGCTGCGCCAGCCAAGAAGCCCGCCGCTGCAGGCCGCAAGTCTGTCAAGCGCGCTGCCGAGCCTGCCGATCCTGTTCAGGCTGTCGAAGCTGCTCCTGTCGTCGTCGCCGAAGTGGAGGTCGCGCCTGTCGTGAAGCGCGGTCGCAAGGTTGCCGTTGTCGAAACTCCCGTCGTTGCCGAGGTCGAGCCTGTGGTTGTGTCGCGTCGTGGCGGCAGGGCTGCGAAGACCGCCCCCGTTGTGCCAGTCGAACCCGAAGTGCCCGTCATTGAGGTGGCTGCTCGCTCGCGTCGCGCTGCGGTCGTCGCCGAGCCCGTTGTGGCACCCGTTGCCGCCACCTCGCGCGCAAAGCGCTCTGCTGCCGTTGCGGCTGCCGAGCCCGTGGAGGAAGTCGTTGTCAAGTCCTCCAAGGGCAAGGGCAAGAGCAAGGTCCAGGAGCCCGAACCAGCTGTCGATGGCTGCAGCGTTTGCCACTCGAACGAGCAGGAGGAGAAGCTCCTCATTTGCGACGGCTGCGAGGCAATGATGCACATGTTCTGCCTCAAGCCCGCTCTCAAGCGCGTTCCTGCTGGTGACTGGTTCTGCGACGACTGCAAGACGGCCAAGGCTGCCGCTGAGGAGCCCAAGCCTGCCACCAAGAAGGCCCGCGTTGAGGTTGCTGAAGTCGTCGAGGTTGTTGCACCCGTCAAGGCGACCAAGGCAACCAAGGCAGCCAAGGCAACCAAGGACGTTGTTGTCGTCGTCGCCGCCGCCGCCGCCGCCAAGCCTGCATCTCGAGCCGCCAAGGCCGCCGCTGTGCCCGAGCCTGTCGTCGTGGCCGCCCCCAAGCGATCAAGCCGGGCTGCCGCCGCTGCAGCTGCACCAGAGCCCATGGTCACTGAGCCCGCCAAGCGTTCGACTCGTGCGACGCGCAAGTAACTCTGCATCGAGCCGAGTTTACGATTGTTAAGGGTTGACGAAAAGCAAAGAAAAAAAAAAAGTCAAGTACAGAACTTGACGAGTCGATTTTGTTGTTTGTTGCGATTGTGTTTGAATTCTGGGGGCGGGGCGAGGGCTACCGTTGCTCTCTGTCTCTGTCTCTTTTGGCCATTTGTGTCTTTGCTGGCGACCAACGTTGTGGGGTTGAAGTCACAATTGTTGGAGATGCTTGCAGCACTTTGGTTTTTGGAGAGGAGATCCCCCTCTTCCTCTTCCTCTGCATGTTGATTCAAGTGCCCCTTGTACCGGAGCGCTAGTGTATATTGTTAAGCCTGGCACTATTGTCAGAAACTGCGTGTTTGTCTTTTGTTGGAATGAAAACGTTGAAGATTTTTCTCAAAGTTCAGAAGTCAGTTCAGTTAAGTTCCTTGTTTGAGGTCTTGTCGAGATGACCTGTTTTCAATTTGTAACTTGTTTCAGACATGTACAACCAGTCTTGGTTTTTGTGTTGATTTTGTATGGTGACTGTCAATCTAACATACAACCCTTCAATCCCATTGTATTGTGAAAATGGCTGGTAGCGAATGGCGCGCTTTGCCGTCCAGCAAGCGTCTTCGCCTGGACATTGACCTGCGTGCCGACGACCACGACCACGACCATGACAATGGCAATGACAATGCGGATGATGACGAGTTGGACTTCCAGCAGCCTCGCAAGCAGCCGCGGTTGACTTTGCCGGCAGCGAGTCGGAGAGCAGTGTCTCTGCCCTTGTTGCAAGCACAGGCACGCCAGCACCACCACCACACCTCGACCAACGCTCGAGATCAGGCTGCCGTCCGACGTTCCGAGTCGTGTATTACAGCGTCTACAAGTGTGCCGACTGTTCAGTCTCATCCAAGCATCCAGGCAGGCGGACGCGCGTTGGCGAACAAGAATCGCGGTGAGCCGCATCGCTGCCCGATTTGCCAGTACCCGTTTCCCGACACTCACAATCAGCAGGTGCGTATGTGGCCAACGAGCCACGTCGAGAACAACGACAACAGCAGGATTTTGTTCTTTTTTTTTTTTTTTTTTTTTTTGGTCGGTGGAAATTTACAGTGTTAGTGTTGGTTTTTCGTTCTGTTGCAGGAAGTCGCTCAGCGCCATGTTCAAGGATGCATGGATCTTCCAATGCCATCGACAGGTACATTGCAAAGATGCAGTGCACGTCGGTGGTTGTCGAGTTTGTCGTGCTCAAGCTCTTTTTGTGTGTTTTGTGCCCGATTTTGACTGATTTTGGCATTGTTTGCTCGTAGCTTGCCGGTACGGGGTTGAATGCCGGCATCGGCATCCACGGCATTTTCATGAATTCAGTCACCATCCACTAGCGGAAGCACAGAGTTTACGCGCCTGTCCGGGTTTGGAGCGGATTGCTACACTTCCCGCTGCAGCCAGCAGCCGCTTGGCATTGCACCGCGACGCCACCAGCGTTTTGGCGCCCAATGTGCTGGCAATCAACTCGAACAATGCTTCCGATAGCGTGGTACTCGATGCGGAGGAGGGTTTCGATTCGACCGGAAGAATCGACAGCAGTGCAAACTCCTCGACGGCAGATGTCGACAATTCTGCCATCGCGTGGATCCAGCACATGACGGATTACGGCGACGAGATTTTGATTGCATCCCAAGACCAGTCACTCGCCGAGAGCGAGGGTGGTGTTGCCAATCCGGCGACTGCGTTGTCCAATTTTGAGTTTAGCCCGATCACCTCGCATGACGATACCGACGAGACCGAGTCCAACGACGCCTTGGCTGTGGCTGTTTCATCTCTACCTCCTTCAGTTTCGGACGACTCACGGCAGGATGCGAATGACAATTTCAGTGATGAGGAGTTTGACCAATCCTGGGGAGCATCCCTTGAAGAAGAGCGCATGTTTATCGTCGCGTGCGATTCCGCAGAGGCTCGAGAGCGTTTGCTAGAATGTGTTGTCGGTGAAGATGTCACGTTTACATCTTCAATTTCTCGCATCAGTGACCGTTCTGACTTTTCAGGCTCTCCATCGGCGTCTTTGGCCTGCGCTGTGCGCTCACTCGATGCTCAGGAGCACCCTGCCACGCCGCGCCGTCCTCATGAACAATCACCCACCCCTTTTCATCATAGCTCTACCTTATCCTCGCCAAAGGCAAGCCCTGCGTCCTCGTCTCGCCTGCTCTTGCAGCAGGGCATCAACGCCTTCTTTCAACCGCTTCGCTCTCTTTCCAGCCGTGTCGCGTCGGCCGTTACACCGGCACTACGCACTACTGTTTCGTCTTTTACCCCAAAGTCGAGTCCTGCTTTCTCGCCCTCTCCGGCACGAGCTTCCACCATGCCCGTCGCCGCGACCTCTGCCTCCTCCTCCTCCTCCACCAACTCATCCTTCTCCTCCTCCTCCTCCTCCTCCTCCGCTTTGGCGGCACCATCGTTACGACCGCGGTTCTCTGCTGCCGGAGCAAGCAAAGCGGTACGACCCTGCCCTTTCTACAAGCGGATGCCCGATACCACGTTTGTCGTGGATGCGTTTCGGTTTGGTCGCATCGCGGGATGCACTGGCTACTTTTTGACGCACTTCCACAGCGACCACTATGGCGGTTTGTCGAAAGGTTGGCGCCATGGACCGATCTATTGCAGCGAGGCGACCGCGAATCTGGCAGTCCATGTCCTCGGCGTCGCAGACGACATGCTGCACCGCCTTCCAATGGACCGCGAAGTCACGGTCGATGGCGTTGGCGTGACGTTGATTGACGCGAATCATTGTCCGGGCTCCTGTCTGATCAAATTTGTGTTGCCGGACGGGCGAGTCTACTTGCACACTGGTGATTTCCGCGCGGATCCAGCCATGCTCGCGCATCAAGCGTTGGCACAATGTCGCTTTGCCATGCTATATCTTGACACAACGTAAGTTTCATTTGAGGTTCATCTTGTGGGTGGTTTTTATTTTATTTTTTGATTCCTTTTGAAATTCCCTCACATCCAACCCCCCCCTCCCCGTTGTTCCCTGCACCTCCTCAGCTATTGCGACCCTCGATACACCTTCCCATCACAGCAAGAGGTCGTCAGCTTTTGCGCGCGCATCAGTCGAGCCATGGTGGTTCGGAACAGCCGTCTTTTGGTTGTCGTCGGCACGTACCAAATCGGGAAGGAAAAGGTCTTTCAAAGCATTGCCAAAGCGCTCGGCGTGAAGGCTGCTGTTGATCCGCACAAGCTCCGCATCTTGCAGTGTCTCAACAACAAGGAGCTGAGCGATATTCTCACGCTGGACAAGAATTCGACTCGGCTTCACATCCTCCCGCTCTTTTCCTTGTCTGCAAAGGTGAGCATTCTTGTGGTGTATTGATTAGTCGAAGAGGGCGGGGGTGGGGGCTTCTCACCTTTGTCTTTCCCCCGTCTCGCCTTGTTGTAGAGCCTGCAGGCCTACCTCTCCAACTTTCGTCCGCACTACAATGCAGTGCTGGCATTCCGGCCCACTGGCTGGACATTTTCGTCCAAGCTCGTTTCTGTCGCCGACATCCAACCACAAATCACTGGTAACATTTGCATGTACGGCGTCCCGTACAGCGAGCACTCGAGTTTTTCCGAGCTTGGCGAGTTTGTCGCGGCGCTCAAGGCGACCAAAGTCATTCCGACCGTGAACATTGGCTCGGCAGAATCGCGAGCCAGAATGGAAAACCATATCCGGAGCTGGATGAATCGGCCTTCGCGATGGTCGAGCAACACTACAGCTGTGTAAAAAAGAATTGAGTTGTGTATTCTTGTTTTTTTTTTTTTTTTTTTTTTTTTTTTTTTTTTTTTTTTTTTGTTGTTGTTGTTGTTGTTGTTGTTGTTGTTGTTGTTGTTGTTGTTGTTGTTGTTGTTGTTGTTGTTGTTGTTGTTGTTGTTGTTGTTGTTGTTGTTGTTGTTGTTGTTAATTTAACGATTTGTTTATTTTGTGGTGAATCTCCGCGCAATCCGAACATTACATGGCAAACTGAGGCTTGGATTTGCCCTTTGAGCCAGACGCAGGTTCCGCACTCTTGCTCTTCCCGCTCTTTTTGCTGCTCCCTGCTTTGGTATTGGCAATGGCAGCAAAAACGGCCTCCAGCTCTTGTCGAGCCTTCTTGTTGGGTTTGGCCTCCTTCTTTTTCGACGAGGAATCCTGAGAATGCCACACAATCGCGGGGGAAGGAGAAAGAGAACGTGAGACCAAAGTCCAATAGCGCGTTCCAACTTTTCACAAAAAAAAAAAAAAAAAAAAACAATCAAAATCGAAAATGTACCTTGCTCGAAGAGGTTTCTTCCTCAGTTGCGTCGGTGGCTTCAGCTTCGGCGTGCGTGCGCTTCTTTCGGTTGGAAGAGTCCTTGAACAGATCGTCAATTTCGTTGGCTGGCAGACGGTCGGCTGCGTGGTCGTCCAGTTCCATCGCATCGTCGTCATCTGCCGAGCGTCCCTTCTTGTCCTTTTTGCGCCCACCAGCGCCAAGATCTGCCATCAGCGAGTTGTACTTGTCGCTCTTTCGCAAAACTGCCCGAGTTGCAATTCAGAGTTTAGCACAACATTGTGTCATTTGAGCAACAATCTGATATCGCAGCGCTTCCATTGCGCTTGTTTTTTTTTTTTGTTGCCATACCTGCTACACGGTCTGTCGAGTCATCCGCCTCCACAGCAGCCTCCTTGCTCTTCTTGGACTTGGCAGGCTTTGCGGCAGCGGTTGTTTCGGGGACTTCTCCGTTATCCTCGAGAATGTCAGCAAACATGCGCGACTTGCGGTCGTTGGCTTCCAGCGAATCCTTCCAAGACTCCTTCTTGCGCTTGAAACGTTCGATTTGACAGTTTCGGAGCACAAAGGGACCGTAGAAGCTATTTCGGAGCTTGTTTTCTTGCGAAACGAGTTCGGTTGCAATCCATTCCTGTCACGACAAGTCCAGCTCATTGTCAGACCAGCATAAACGAGCATGTGAGAACAGCAAATGAGATGACAAACCTTGGCATCAATGTCTGCAGCAATCCAGCACTTGTCGATAGCGTGACTTCCGTACTTGTCAATGGCCAGCTATTTGTGCAAAAAAGAGTCAACACAACCAAAAAAAAAAAAAAAAAATGAGTGAACAAAATCCTGACTTCAAAAACGCCCGTGTTGACATTGCTTCCTCGCATCTGACACATACCTCGCAGAACTTGCCGCGCAGTTTTCGCAGGACATCGAGCTTTCGCTTGTAAGGCGCAGTTCCGGCAAGGAAGATTTCAAATACATGGCTGCCAATCGGTGTTTTGCAAATGTGCAAAAGATCCGTGACTGGGTAATTCGCAAAACTGTTGAAAAACGGGCAGAAAGGGCATGAGCATGGCAAAAAAAAAACCACCATCATTTGACCCTCTCAAGGCAACGTACCTCTCGACAACAGGCTTGTTAATGGCTGGCGGGAAGCGAAGAAGCGATTCGAGGAGCCGAGCACCGTGCATGTTGAACTCCATGTTGGCAACGGGCGGAATTGGCATCTTTTTGCGGCTGCTCGTCTTCTTGTTGCTGTCGTCATCGCTGTCGTCGTCCGAGTCACTAGAGTCGTCGGAATCCGCCGCTGCAGCAGAGCTGCTGGCCTTGGCGCTCGTCGACTCGTCCAAATTGAAAAGGCGGTCGTAGGTGATCATATGAATCAGCAGGCTGGCAATAGCTTTCTGCTCCTTCTGTTTGCTGGCATGGAAGGTGGCAAACAAGGCACGGACGAAGGGGCGCTGGGTTGTGATGGTGCCGCGACGTTCGCACGCTTGGGTGAGGCACACCACCACGCCCATGCGGTTCTCGGCAAGAAGCTCCTCAATGTGGTCACGCAGCTCATCCAAGACCATCTTGAGCTGGGCCTCGTGATGCAGGTGGTTGAGCATGGCCTGAACCACAAAGTTTCCGGAACGGTGCAACGAGAGCTCGAGCAAGTGTCCGCGGAAGACGAGATTGAAAATATCGAGGAAGAGGTCTGCGGAGGCCACCTGTTTTGGCGACAAGTTGGGCAGATGTGAAGTAGTTGGATCAATGAGCAAAAACAGCAAAACATTTCGGTGGGTTTTGGATTTTACACATAACATGCCTGCCGCCTGCTGCCTTACCTTGAACATGCGCTCCAAAACATGGCTACCAATGCGGTGTTCGAGCAGGTTTGCTCGGACAAAGGACTCGGCGTCGTCGCGGGGTGTCGAGGAAGTGGGTGTGGCGAGGTGAAGCACTTGGCGCGCAATGTCATCGCTCTGCATGGGGAGTTTGTGGTGAAGGGCCATCAGGAGGCTCTGCAAGACCGGGCTGGCAACCGGATCCGTCACAACGACATCAAACCCGGTTTGAGCGGGAAGCTTTGTGACAATTGCGTCGGCGAGGGCGCTGAGACGATTGACAAGCTCAATGTCCACCACATAGGCATCACGCTTGGTCTTGTGCTTGATTGCGAGCGCAAGGGCAAGGGCAGGGCCGATCAGTGAGCCCTTGGGAGGGTTGGCGGGCTTGCTTTCCCCGTCCTCGGCGTTGTCGGTGGCGGCGGCCTCTTCCGGTGCGGGCGTCGGTTTGTTTTCGAGCACAGCGTTGAAATCGGCCTCGGGCATCAGAGCAGCAGTGTAGCCGCGCGAAGCCTTGCTGCGAACAACAGAGTCGTCGACGGCAGCAATGCCGACAAGCACGTTGAACAGAATGCGCAGCACATGGCCGGCGTAGGTGTGAAAGACGAGCTGCACAATGTCCTTCTCTTCGAGACGGTCGCAGAACTGGAGCAACAGGTCCTTGAGCGTGAGCAGCGTGCCGTCCTCCTCGCTGTCAAGTTGGCGCAGCTGCTCGTCCGAACCGTTCTTCTCTTGCTCCAAGAACGGAGGCAGGAGCGTCAGCAGCGTTTGAACGACGTGGGAGGCAAACTTGTCTTGCACGAGCGATTCGACCGAGTCCGAAATGCGGTCCATAAACACGCGCAAGTGGAATGGGTTGGATGCCTTGAGCAGCTTTTCGACGATGCGCGAGCAGTCTGTCAAAAAAAATCGATGAATTGCAGGAATTGCTTGTCTCTCCAAATGGTCGCTCACGACTTGACAAGCAGGAGAGAGGCTTACGTTGGTCTTGCGCGAGGGCGAGCTCGTTGCCTTCGAGTTCAGTGTAGACGTTCGAGACAAACAGGTCGCGATCGGCTTCGTCTTGGAATGCATTGTCGTCCAGCATTCTGATGCCAGCAGAATAGTAGTGCAAGTGAGTTTTTGCGCCCCCCCCCCCCATGTCTCTCTGCATGTTGTACGACCAACGAGTTACCGTTCGACGCGTTCAAAGTACGTTTTGAGCTCCTCGCCAACGACAGGGACGTTGCGCACCGGCGCCGCCGCGGCTGCTTCTGCCTCTGCCGCAGCATTGCCAGACTTGCGCGGAGCAGTCGGCGGAAGCATCGTCGAGGGCTCTGGTTTCCGGCTGCTGCTGCTCGACGACGATGAGCTGCTGCGTGAGTGTGATTTGCTCATCTGGCCAAAAGCAAAGCGCGCGCAAACAAGGTGAGCCAAGCATTGGACCAGTTGAATCACACAGATCCACGCAAGTCGAAAGGGGTCTGGTCGATGGAGTGGAGAACGAGAGAGAGAGAGAGAGAGATGGAAGGAGGGCTCCGTTCACACGTGGATCATTGGGAATCGACAGACCTGGTCGCACCGCGGCTGGGACGAGCTGAGGAAGTGAAGATGAATGGTTGCCAAGTCAAGCACTAGCACAAAGAAAGGGGGTTTGGGGGGTCGGGTGCGAAGGTGGGAGGAAGTGTGGGGGGGGGGCATCGATGGAGTGAGTTTGATGGCAAAGGCTTACTACCAGTGTTTGAAAATACAAGGAGTGGTCAATGAGAAGATGTTCCTTTTTGAATGTCTATCGCGAGCGGTTGCATTGTTGTATTCGAGCTGCTGCTGAATAGACCTCCAACCAAACCCACCGTCGCTCAGAAGTTGATTCTCGCCCACCAGCCATCCAAAGCGACCCCCAAGGCTGAGCTCCTCCTCCTCCTCCTCCTCCTCCTCCTCCTCCTTCTCCTTCTCATCATCATCATCACCATCATCATCATTCTATCATAATAACGCATCATTCTATCACTCTTCATGACTTTTTCCGATTCTTTTTTTTTTTTCAATCTGTTTACTTTTTGACTTGTTTTTCATTCCTTTTTTTTTTTTTTTTTTTTTTCATTTCAACTTTTGTTCGTAAATTGATTGCTTTTTTGTTTATTGAGCTTTTTTTTTTGTTTTTTGAATGTTGATCGTTGCGCGTTGTTGATTTCGCGACTTTGACTGGCTTCGAAGGGCTTCCATTCAGCCGTCTTGTTCAGTCGCTCGCAGCGAGGAGATGGAGTGGCGGAACGAGAAGAGAGCGAAAACAGGAAAAAAAAAAGAAAAAAAAAAAGAGAAAACAACCCACACGAAAAACCAATCAAGCCAAAAACGCAGCCCCCAAAACCGCCAGCGACCAGCGAAGGCGCCGAGCGTGGGAAAGCGTGTGTGTGTGCGTGCAAAGCAGACGGTGCTCCGTCTTGCGGCTGCTCTGGAACCAGCAAAGCTGCCATTGCAGCATGTCTTTTTTTTTTTTTTTTTTTTTTTTTTTTTTTTTCCCTTTCGTTCTCCATTTTTTTTTTCTTCCGCTATTGTCGAGCTCATGTTCTTCGGGAAGGCGCGGGGCTTTCTGCATCTCACCAGACAGACGAGCAGGCATGCAGAATGTGCTTGTTCCTCTCTTGGCGTTGCTGCGTCTGGCAAGAGCAACACGGGAAGCGCGAAGGGGAAGGCAAGGGATGAGACATCAAAAAAAAATCAAAAAAATCAAAAAAAATCCCATTGCATATTTGGTGCGCGCTCAACCCTTTGGAGTGCCCGCATCCACCAGACCCGCACCCACACGCAGCTGAGCCCCAGCCTCAGCAGCCAGGCGCGCATTTGCCCCTTGGGGTTGCTCGCTTGTTGCCTCGATCGCGCAGAGCTCGTTTCTGGAAAGAAGCGACTCCAGCTTGGGCAACACCAAAAGGCAATGCAATGGCGGATGAAAGATTCTTTCTTGATTGCTCTCTCTCGCCTTTTTTTTTTTTTTTTTTTTTTTTGGTTTTTTGATTTTCTCTCTTCGATTGGCTTGGGTCATGGCTGGCGGCACCCGACAGTGAGTGCTTGCTTGTGAGGCAGTGAGGTGGAGTAGGGCGTCGAGTCGGAAGGAGGGATGGGGATGGGGTAAGCAGGGGGTCTGGGCATGGCGTGCTCTGCCCAAAGCACCGCAAAGGGTGTCCCTTCGTTTCTCCTCCCTCTCCGCCACCTCTCTTCCTCACATCACTTTGACTCGCATATAACTGCACCGTCACTCTTCGGCCCACCTCCGTCCTTCTCGCTATGCTCTCCGCGCTCTTGACCGTTTTGTGGCTTTATTGGCGAACAATGATTTTTTTCCGTTTTTTTTTTTTCTCCTCGTTGCTCTCCTTGTACCCTCATTGACTCACTTTCCTGCGCTTGTTGTCTCGCAGGTGAACCAAAACCCCCCCGCTTTTTCCTTCCTCTTTGGTTTTTTTTTTTCTCTGGGGACATTCAAGCACTTCCTTTCCTGGTCACCTCATCTGAAGTTTGCTCCAATTTTTCCCCTGTCAGCGCCCCCCCCCCCC